ACAAAGGGTTTTTATGAGGATTCTTTCTTTGTTATAATGCATCTCCACTCACTGCTATAGGAAACCTTTCATGTCTCTCTCTCTCTCTCTCTGGTTCTCCCTCAGTAGCTAGCTAGGGCTAGTTGTTGTGTGAGGCATGCATGTGTGTGCTCTCAAAAGGAGGTGGGAAATGAAAAGGGTTAACTTTCTTGGTTCTTTGTTGATGTTCTTTTGTGGGGGAGAGGAATAACTTTTGCGTTTCTAAAAAGCTACAGCATTTGAATTTTCCTTTTAAAAGGTATATTGCCTTGTGATGTATGAGCGGAGGCCATGGTAAAGTGGCGGGAACAGGGAGCTCCACTCACCTCATTATATGATGGTTTGGTCTTTTGACTATTTGGATTTAGTGTTTGGTGCTTGGATGCCTTGGGGCACTGCTGTGCTGTGTGCACTCTCAGTTTCAGAAGCTGATCCATGAGGTGTCACGTCTTTAAGGTTCTTGTGATTGAGATAGAGCAAGATGTTGAGAGCAAATCTCACGTCGGAAAGTTAATAGATCTTGCATGTATTTATAAGAAATTAGATTACTCTCTATATTTTTAATTGATTTTATAATAAAACCTCTACTTAGTAGAGAGAACAACTGGACAAAAATTCTTTATGCCTCAGTAGACCTTTACCAAATGATTGAAATAATGGGAGATACAAATTCTCTGAGCACTCAGCTCTCTCCAACCCACATTTTCAAACTTGCATTAACCCCACTTCCCAATTGACACTACAGATAGATATGGAAGAATGTATTTGCATAGAGAGAACAAAGATGTGCCTGTATGCTATCCAGTTATACTATTCCAAACATAATGGGAAGGGGAATATTTGAATTTTGACCTAATTTCAATTTTCAACCAAGGCCACACCTATTGATAAACCTCATTTTTTTGGTCAATTGGGGGAATACATAAAGGGGTTTCTGAACATTAGTCTTTAAAAAAGATTGAAATTAAAAGAAAAATAGTTTTAGATTACATATTGATTTTAATCCTTTGAAGTGTATTTTTATTAAAATTCATATCCTATTTTTGTTATTTAATGTCTCCATAATAAAATTTTGATTTTATTAATATGTACATTTTAATTCTTACAACTATAAATAAATCTAAATGAGAAAATATAAAAAAAAAATGATACATAAGAAAAATATGTAAATACATAAGTGTACAAAAATAATTATACCAAAATATCAAATTAACTTGTTTGTACTGAAATATATGCACTGAACTATATTATAATTAATTTTAAACACATAAATGTAAAGGAAAAGGTGAAGCGTGGATGAATCTTTTCCCCAAACAATTTCGGACAGAAGAATCAATCAATATAAAGCCCCCGATGCATGAAAAAATATTAAACGAATGTATATCATATTGAGACAAATAACTCGGTCAACTCAGTACGTAGTCTTCCAAGAAGAGTATATATCATATATGTAATTTCAAGAACGAGTTTCCTCGAAGAACACGTGCATGCATGATTGCCCATAGCCTACTATTCTCGTGGATTCATTCACTAATGGTGGTTGTAGCCATGGACTAATATATCTATATATATTAGCTAGGGTTTTGTTGAATATTCCCAAGTGCCAGTTTTTGACCATTGAATAGATATGCCAATTTCTAGAGGCTGATGATGTGCATGGGTCACCGACCCAAGGTTTGTATGTTTTGGAATACACCCGAAACCGAGTAACATATTTGTTTATAAAAAAACAGAAACGAGTATTTCAAGTTCTGGAACTTTGCATACATCGTTTTAGGTGGGAAATTTGTTTAACAATTTATTTACTGTTCTAGCTAGGAAAATGAAACGTGCATGCATGGTCCGTTTACTGTTGTTTTATTTTGTATTTTTATTTTAAGAAATCGACAGTCCAAGATGATTGTCTAGGCATACCTAAACCTACTTTGTCGCGAAAAGTTTCTTCTATTTCTTTCTTTTCGTCCTTTTCTTGTTGATTATAATAAGAAGACAATATATAATTAAGGCAAGAGGATGTTCACACATATTTTGGCTAGTTGCTCTTGGAAGAAAGGCTTTTTCATCCTTACCCCATGGTGCCAAGAAAAACGTCAAAGAAACATTCAATAATTTCATGCGCTTGTTAATATTTGAAAACTGAAAATATTTATCAAATAATGAGTTTTCAGTTAAAAAAAAAAGAATGAAAACAATTATCAAATGACCCCTATATAAACATGTCATTCTCTTTATGTGTTTCACAATTGTCTATGGCTCATTTGGTTGTTGAAAGAATCTATAGAAAATAAAACGATTTGGGCATATAAACAAATTTCATCTGCGGAATATTTTAGAAATTTGTATTTGATATTCTTCCAAAAAAATATGACCATTTCTAGGTCCAAATGTTGTTTTCTACTTTATGCAAAATCCCAATGGAATGTGATGAAAAATTCACCAAAAGATCAATAACCCATATTAACTGAAAAACGATATATCATTCTAATGATGTTTTTCTTTAGTTAAATTTCATTTTCATTTGCTATTAAAGTCAAAGAGAAAAAAGCTAAATAAAAAGGAAAAGTAAAGGAAAATACAGAAAAGAGAAAACAAAAGAGAAATCCAACTCATGTGATGATAAGATTTAAGTCGTAATGTCAACAGGGTTGACATGGGAACCCACGAAACGACTGCTGCGATGATGTGCACGTGTGGCAAACTTATCATATCATCCTATGTGTAAGAATATAAAAAGAGTGCATTTTTGCTCGCCATCCTTAAGTGAAGGAAATACTTATAACTTCATTAATTATTATTAGATGACTTTAAATTTTAAGATTTGTGTCTATTAATTGTACATATTTAAAAATTTAAACTCATCCAACGATAATAAATAAAGTGATAAACATCACCATCACTTAAGGATGGTGATTAAAAATATTCCTAATTAAAATAAAACAAAATATAAAAATTGCATGATTAAAAGAAATGGCACCATTTGACCCCATGGCCAACAATGATTCATCATGATTATGCATAATAAGCAGCACGGGGGCCATGGCCCCCAACTCCATTATTCATGATACAAAATTGATTCATGCATTTTGTAATGGGGGATTTCTTTTTGTCAAGTAAATTATGATCCACTCAACATTTTGATCTTATTTTATCAGCCAAAGTAAAAGATATGTTTCAGAGATCATGGAGAAAAGAGGGATTTGACAACCAGCCACTAACACTAAATATTGCTGCATAAATATTGTCATTTGTTTATACTTATATATAAGATGAACTGAGTTACGTATTAATTTACAGTATTTAATATATTATCTAAATTTAATCAACTACTCTATAAAAATATGATAATATCGGCTAATATTAACCTAGTAATACACAATGTAAATGCTATCAAAAGGTACTAATCTATTTTTGTTCCAATAACACTCCTTAATTATTTCTCTCATTTGGTCATAAATAATTTATTATCAACCAAATCTGCTCAAATTGACAATGCAAGATAAAAATAACATATTTATAAATGTTGAGAAAAAAAAATGGTCACGTTGGACGATTATTATTTTTTGGCTAGTCATAAAATTCTTGTTTGGAAATGCTCTTAAAATAACTGAAAGTATTTTTTGTGAAAATATTTTGGAAACCAATCCTTATTAAAATCTAAGTAGATTTTGAAAAGCACTCAAAATGTTTTTAAAATCCAAAATCAATTTCACCAAAAATGATTTCAATCATTTTAAAAGCACTTTCATACTAGTCCTAATTAGCCATTCTTCATGAACTTGGTTAGAGATTTTTCAGGTTTCAAAGGTTCTTATAACTTAATTCTTTTACGAAATATAAGAGGCAATTTTTAACGGTGCAATATATTTTCTCTTTTACAGCAACCAGCATTTTATTTTACCCCCAAGAAAGATTAGAAATGAATTTTTTTTTTTAATGAAAGGCAAAATTTGAAGTTGACTATATATACAACATTTTATTTTTCAAGTTACCGTTCTAGTCAAATAAATATACATTAGGACTTTTAAGATATACTTTTCTTTTTCTTGTTATGCAAAAAATTCACGGAAACTGAAAGATATAATATTAAATGAGAAAAAAGAAAGGAAAAAAAAGAGAAAAAAAAAGTTAGGTTCAATAAATGATAATTCCACGAAAAATAAAGTGAGATATGATACAGAAGCACCCAACTTTCCCCTATTCAACCAAAACGTGCTTTTACATTTGACAAATATTGCCCCGACTTTCTTCTTAGGAGTGAATCACGTTCTGATTACGTGTTAGTATTTGAAAGCAAAATAGGTAAAATTTCATCAATTTAACGGTTAGGGATTAATTGCATAATTTCAAATAGTTTAGAGGTTAATTTACTATAAAATAGTTTAGAAAATCAATTTCAAGTAGAGTAATAATTCAGGTGATCAAACAACAGTTTATTATTTTCCACCATTCTCTCTCTTTCTTTTCTCCTTGCTAAGGAGTTCACCATTGAATTTAGTATATTCTGATATTTAGCAAAATAATTACTCTTTAAATTTAAAGAATGACAATTTATTTTAAGAAGTTTTAACGAAATACTTTTGGTATTTTTTACTTTAAAAAAAAATATTTTTACTTTAAAAAAATCACCCCTAGTACTATTCATTTACAACATATTTTTGTCATTTTGATTAAAACTCAAAAATTTTAAATTATTTTTATTAGTTTTTCTTTTATTTTACTATAACAAAGAGAGTATTTTTTTTTTAAATTTTGACTATTTAGATTAAAACTTTAATTGTTTTACAACATCTTCATGCTCATAGCATTTCTCTTTACATTTAAGTACGTGCAACTCCTTTTACCGTTTTTTAACTTAAGCTTTTATTTATTTATTTATTTTTTTTGTTCAAACAACTTAAAGCTTATTTACTAATAAATCCCACAAAAGGACCAAACCAAGGTCAAAATCTTCTCAATAAACACACACACTAATACCAAAGAAAAATCAATCTCTCTCTCTCTGTCTTTCTCTCTCCCTCCCTCCCTCCCTCCCTCCCTCCCGCGCTCTCTCAAGGCGGCCACGGACACCAACAAGAAGAGTAGTACAACTATGACTCAGTTGTGCTGTGTTGACATTTAGCTTCAGTTTTCTGCAAATACAATTCAACCCCAGTTTCTTCTAGTTTTCCTTCTAAACCCCTCCATTAAACACATCTCTCTTTCTCTCCCTCGATTTTCGTGTTCCATTTCAACTTTTGTTAAAGCCCACTATCTCTCTCTCATTCCAAGAACTCTCTCCCAGCTGGAGAAAGGACCAAAAAAGCAGCTTAATTTAAGCACTTTGAGATCTGGGATTTGTGAGTTTTGCTTACATTTTCAATCTTTTTTGTGCTAGCTCTGAAGTTTCTTTGAGCCTCAGCTCCAAGCAGAGAATTTGGGTTCCGGGTTTTAACCTTTGAAACATTTCAAGTTAAAAAATGGGGAGCAAATGGAGGAAAGCAAAGCTTGCACTGGGGCTGAATCTGTGTTTATATCTTCCCAAAACACTAGAGGATTCATCTCCCTCCTTTGTGGACTCAGCTGAGAGGTTGTCTGATGCTGCCCTGCTTTCACCTGCCAATTGGGCCGATGGCTCCTCCAGGCCTACCACTCCAACTCCATCCTCCAATGGTTTGAAGCTCTCCAGAAATGGAAGCAAATCCTCAAAGGTTTGTCTTTTCATCTAATTATCACAAATGGAACGGATTTTCCTCCTTTGTGTGAGCTTATAATTGATGGGTTCTTATCAGTTTTAGTTTATTCTGTTTGGTTGCTGAGAAGTTGAAGTTTTTGTGGTTAGTTTAGAGAAGTCAGGTATAAATTTCAGCTCAGAAGCAAAATGGCTTACAAATGGTGCCTAATTTAGAGTTTGGTTCCAAAAATTATGCATCTTGACCTCCATATTTTCATGAAAATCATTTCTTAGAATTTACAGATCAGGTCTCAATTCTTTTGGCCTTAAAAGACATCAGGTCTTTGATAAGATCATATTTTAGCGGATTTTGAGGAAACAATTAAATCTTTAAATGTGAATTTTAATGTTTATGTTGTTTTCCTGTGTTGAGCATGTGGGGGGGTTAATGCACAAGTCACTTTCAGGACCATTCTTGTTTGCCTAAATGGTAAAAAAAAAAAGACTAAAGGGTTTGCCTTTCCTTTTCCTCCTCCTCTGTTGACTGATCATCTGCAAGCCTTCTGGCAGTAAATTTCATCAAACAAGTAAAAAAAGAAAGCGGAAAGTAGTCCCATAAAGCATCTTATTAATTCCCTTTTGTTTGATATATTGGTTTTTCTGGCTCTTTTCAGAGCTCTGGTTTAGTCTATCGGTTAAAAACCCCGAACTACAGGATACTCTGGAGCACCATAAAAATCGTTCTTAAAAATTGTTTTTCCTTTTCATTTGTTGTGTTTTTTTCTTTTTTCAACTTCGTTTTCATTTTTCTCAAATTAAGTGGAGGGTATTTATTCTTTCCTGTTTGATTTTTAAGGCATAAAATTGAGCAAATTGTTGGGTTTAGTTACCTGTACAATGGCTTACCAGTTACCAGTGGATCTATCACTCCCTTTTATTTTATCCGTTTGTGATAATTCTACTTGCTTAGCCTATCCTATGTTAAAAGGCATCTCTTACCACACAATTATGAGAATGTACAGCAGACTTAAGACGAAATTGAAAACATTTCCTTCCTTTTTGTTGGCATGACAAGTTATTGATGTACTGATCGTTTTTGCCCCCGCTTTACTTGCTGCGACATCTGGGGATTATATGCAGGACATATCATGATCTTACTTAGCCTTTTCTCTTTAATTTTTGTTTAATAATTAAGTTAATGTGTTGTGAACTGCATCTTTTTTTTCTGGAATTTGTGTGTATGTCTATACTATAGCTGTCCTTGTACACATCACAATACTGTTGAATTTCTCAATGTATTAGAATCCTCACACCGTTGATAAATGATAATTTCTTTGAGATTGTTTAATTTTCAAAGTTCCATGATGCCACTGCGATAATCTATGTGGGTTGATTGATATGGCTTATTTATGCTCTCTTTCTTACACTTGTTTTGTGTTTTCAGCAAACGTGCTCGATATGCTTAACCAAAATGAAACAAGGAGGTGGCCATGCTCTTTTCACCGCTGAATGTTCACATTCTTTTCATTTTCACTGCATCACATCAAACGTGAAACATGGCAACCAAATTTGCCCAGTTTGTAGGGCAAAGTGGAAAGAAATCCCAGAGCAGGGTCCTAGTTTGGATCCTCCCCCTGGAAGGGCAGCTATTGGTCCGGTAGGTTGGCCCCAAAATGATGCTTTGATGACTGTGGTTCGCCGACTTCCTCCTTCTCGAAGAGACTTGAGCCGACCACACATCATGCCACTTTACCAGGCTCATGAGCCAGCTGTATTTAATGATGATGAATCCTTAGACCAACCTGTGTTTGCTGAGAGAAGCTCGTGCGATAAAAATGGTGCAGATGACAATTTGGTTAGGATGATAGAGATCAAAACATTCCCAGAGGTTTCAGCTGTTTCAAAATCCAATTCTTGCGGCAATTTTACAGTTTTGATCCATCTGAAAGCGGCTACTTCAATTACAAGACAAAATCCTAGCAGAAATCAGTCCACTTTGCCGCCTCAGTTTTCTCAGAATCATCGTGCTCCAGTAGACCTAGTCACAGTGCTTGACACCAGCGGTAGCATGGCAGGAACCAAGCTTGCATTGCTGAAAAGGGCTATGGGGTTCGTAATACAGAATCTTGGCTCCAATGACAGACTCTCGGTTATTGCATTCTCTTCAACAGCACGTCGCCTCTTTCCCCTCCGCCGGATGACTGACACTGGACGCCAGCAGGCATTGCAAGCTGTTAACTCTCTGGTCGCAAATGGTGGGACCAACATTGCCGAGGGCCTAAGGAAGGGTGGCAAGGTATTGGAAGATCGAAGGGGAAAGAATCCTGTTGCCAGTATAATACTGTTGTCAGATGGGCAGGACACTTATACCATCAGTGGCTCTGGGCCTAACCAATCTCAGCCAAATTATAAGTTGCTCCTCCCTTTGTCTATTCATGGCGGTGACAATACAGGCTTCCAGATTCCAGTGCATGCATTTGGATTTGGTGGAGATCATGATGCATCATCGATGCACTCAATTTCAGAGATATCTGGGGGAACATTTTCTTTCATTGAGACAGAAGCTGTCATCCAGGATGCATTTGCACAATGCATTGGAGGGCTTTTGAGTGTTGTGGTGCAAGAGCTGCAGGTGGCAGTTGAGTGTGTGAACACAAGTCTCCGCCTCGGTTCACTAAAAGCAGGAAGCTACCCAAGTCGTGTGATGGCTGATGGACTGAAAGGGGTAATTGATGTTGGAGGTATGTACGCTGATGAAGAGAGGGATTTTCTGGTTTCAGTAAATGTCCCAACAGAGTCTTGTAGCAATGTAACATCATTGATAAAGGTGAAATGCATTTACAAGGATCCCTTAAATAAAGAAATGGCGACAATAGAGAGTGAAGAAGTTAGAATCGAGAGACCTGATGTAGTTGGGCAAGCAGTAGTGTCAATAGAAGTGGACAGGCAACGTAATAGGCTCCAGGCGGCCGAGGCAATGGCTCAAGCACGAGCTGCAGCTGAGCTGGGAGACTTAGCTGGTGCAGTTTCAACCCTTGAAATTTGTCGAAGGGTATTGTCAGACACCGTGTCAGCAAAATCCCAAGACCATCTGTGTGTAGCATTGGATGCTGAGCTCAAGGAAATGCAAGAGAGGATGGCAAGCAGACATGTGTACGAGGCATCTGGCAGAGCATACATCCTTTCAGGATTAAGCTCACACTCATGGCAACGAGCGACAGCTAGAGGTGACTCTACTGATGGTTCGAGTCTTGTTCAGGCTTATCAAACCCCATCAATGGTCGAGATGCTTACTAGATCTCAAGCTACATTGTTGGGTAGTCCATCAGCCCAGCGGCTAGTCCGACCAACCAAAGCCGAGGTAATCATATAGGGTTGCTGTGTGCTCATCCTTTGTTATTCATTTTTTATTGGGGAGAGGGAGATAAATTAAAGAGATAAGGAGAGGTTTTTTTGGATGTGGTTTGGCCTCCTGCCTTGTATATGTAAATCAATAAAAGCCGAAAAAAGAGAATGAGATGTTGAAAAAAGGTATAATTGGGAAGGAAAGAAGAAAATGAAGAGTAGGGTTTAAGGGTTTATAACATTATGTATTTCTTGTTGTGTTTTTATTGGGTGGTGTACAAAATGAAAAACGGTTTTATTATCTATGAGAGAAATGGGGTACAAAAAGTATGTAATTGTCAAAATGGTATTGTAATTTACCCTGCTCTCAATTCATTTGACAAAGTTTTGTTCAATTCATGAGTAATTTGGTTTTGTGTGTGTGTGTGTGTGTATTTTTTATTTTTTATTTTTTTTTAAAAGAAGACAATTAGTGGCAAGTCACGGTTATTCATCATTTTCGGAAACCCGAAATAAATTGTGATTTATATACACATGGAATCATCCTCAAACCAGACATTTAAAAGGAAACGATTATCAAAAGATGGTCAAAAGTGGGCAGGAGAACCGGCACACTACCGTACTACATTTTTATCAGCATAAATAAAATGAAATTTTAACGAAAAACTTTCGGTACTGTTCAAAAATCATATTTTTACACTAAAAAATTAATTATAGTACTATTTACTTTATCCTTTATTTTATCCTTATTGTTAAAACTTAAAGTTTTCAAACTCTTTTTATTAATTTTCCTTAAACAAAAATATAAATACAATTTATTGTACAAACATGCTCTACCAAAATCGCGGTTTTTTTCGATGGACAACAAACAGTCAAAATGTCGCACACAAAATCAGATGAAGGCTAAGAACACAAGAAATTATAGTGATTATGTGCCTTTTATTAATATCGGGTATGATTACATTTGTGGAAGGAGAAGCATGCAGGTGTGTCACTTGATTAATTGGCGTCTCCTGAACTTTCATTTTATCATGGAGAGCTCGGTGTACTGGAAAAACTTCTCCTACAAGAATTCACACAAGATAAATATTAGTAAACGATAATTTACGTTGACACGGTCAATCATATCAAATAATGAAACAATGAAATACTTATCTCTTGTGACGAATATATCAACCTCCAACGATGTTTGAGTAGATCAAGATTTGAGGTTGAGACGTGTGATCATTGTTCTTAAGAGTAGATTTCTCCCCTCAAAGATAATATTTTGGTGTAGCAGGTTATGTTGCCCTACTTTCTAAAATACAACATATGACCCTCATAAGCGTACACTCGCTATACATAAATTAGATAAACAACTCGATTCTTTTCAACTAGGTGGAATTTGTAGGAGAGAAAAGATTTGAAGTTCAATAGCGAAGGAGTATTTAAGGGAAAGATCAATTATATACTCACGGAGCAAAGAGTTGTTTATATAGAACATGAGAAAGCTAAACATGACTAAGCACCGTCTAAAAACGATGGGTTAATCAAGATGGCATCTTCAAAGAGAAAATGTGATTCATATTCCCAACAATATAACCTCTTTAATGCATCAATTTTGGTATGCTAACAAATTGAAATCATTAAGGTCATGGCATGATCGAGCAAGGGATAATAAAAAACAACTTGCTAGGATCTCAGGTTGTACAGCGTTCACCTCCAATGCTCTTGATTCCTTCTGGCGAAAACGACTTAGAGCAACTCCAGTGTAGGAGCCCTCCCCCCAGGCAATTCACTATTTAATCCACCTAGTGAACAGTAACTGCCCTTAATGAATAGTGCATTCCCCTGTCAATTGCCTTTTGCATCTCCACCCCTGCACTGAATAGCCCTGGCAATTGGCAATAAAATATTAATATTTTTTTATTTATAAAATAATACATAATAATTTTATTTGTAATTTCGGATAAGATTTTTAATCGTTCTCGTTGCACCACGTGTCATTATCCGAAAAGCCAATAGCAATAAAATTTTTGTATTTTTGTATTTATAAAATAATTCAAAATAATTATATTTGTTATTTCGGATAAGATTTTTAATCGTTCTCGTTGCGCCACGTGTCATTATCCGCAAAGAAAATTATTGGTGATGGATTTCCGATAAGATTTTTAATCGTTGTGTCAAGGCACGTGTCATTATCTGAAAAGACAATTATTGGTGATGGATTTCTGATAAGATTTTTAACCAATCACGTCGTGCCACGTGTCACAATCCGATTACAATCTTTGAGGATAGATTTCCACCAGATTTTTAACGAATGACGGCATGCCACGTGGCATTATCTACAACCTAATCCCTTCTAAATCCTCCATATAATCCCCCATCCATCCTCATAAATCTCACACCAATTTTCTCAAGATCTCTATCATTATTCATAGTTTCTGCTTCCTTCTTCGCCAAAATCCCTATCATTATTCATAGTTTTTGCTTCCTTCTTCACCAAAATCCCTATCATTATTCATAGTTTCTGCTTCCTTTTTACAATGTCTTCTTCTTCTTCTTCAAAGATGATGTGGGAAATCGAGCAAGAAGAGGAAGAATTGTTTAACCAATCACAAGGAATGTTCAATGTTAGGGATTGGGCCCAAAATGAGATGGAAGAGGATGACGAGCGTAGACGGAGAGATGACGAATCAAGAATGGCAGGAGCCCTCACAATCCCGTCGAGTCGTCCAAGCTGTGGCTCATATCTGCAGGCCCAACCGTGCTGTAAACATTGATAGAAAACAGGCAACGACGAGGTCAGGAGCTCTTGGACGATTATTTTGTCCGTAACAGTGCATTCCCTGAAACATACTTCCGACGTCGTTTTAGAATGGAACGACATTTGTTCAACAAAATCATGGGCGCTGTTTGCAACCATGATTCTTACTTTGTGCAAAAGCCGGATGCTTTTGGTGCTATGGGTCTCCTGCCTCAGCAAAAAATTACTGCTGCCTTGCGGATGCTTGCATATGGAGCAGCTGCAGACCAAGTGGACGAGATAACGAGGATGGGACAATCAACCATTCTTGAGTCCCTCATGAGGTTTTGTTCGGCAATCGAATCTATCTACACCGCAGAGTACCTCCGGAGACCTACTCATATGGACTTGCAAAGGCTTCTGAAGAAAGGCGAGATGCGAGGTTTTCCAGGGATGATTGGAAGCATTGATTGTATGCACTGGACTTGGAAAAACTGTCCAAGTGCATGGCAAGGCGCTTATGGGGACAGAAAAGGATCAAAAAGTATCATTTTGGAGGCGGTGGCATCTTTTGATACATGGATTTAGCACGCCTTTTTCGGGGTTCCGGGAGCTCAAAATGACCTCAACGTCCTTGCCCAATCCCCAGTGTTCAACGATGTCCTGCAAGGAAATGCACCAAAAGTCACGTATGAGGTCAATGGACGTATGTACGACGGGCCATACTACCTAGCTGATGGCATTTACCCAAGGTGGTCAACATTTGTCAAAACAGTGCCACGTCCGCGCAGTGCAAAGGAAAAAACACTTTGCAAGATGTCAAGAAAGGGTGCAGGAAGGATGTGGAGCGTTGTTTCGGTATCCTCCAAGCTCGCTGGGGCGATCATCAGGGGTGCTGCCAGATTGTTTGATGTAGAGTCGCTTCGATCCATCATGATGATGACGTGCATCATTCTTCACAACATGATTGTGGAAGATGAGTACGATTATGAAGCCGTTGATGAATATGAGCCAGACACGATGAACAATTCAAGAACACGTATATATTGTGCTCATGACGCCACCGATGAGCCCGTGCAACATGAGCCATTAGAAAGGGATGGACGTTACAATGAAAGGATCATCCAACGATATACTGCACTTCAAAGGTCAAATATGCACAATGCCCGCCAACTTGACTTGATAGAGCACCAGTGGGAATTGAGGGGTGCTGACGATACTTAAGTTCATTAGTGTTTGTTTTTATTTGGTGTGTTTATTTTATTTTATGTGGTGTGTTTTTTTAGTTCATTTAGTGAGTTGAAATGTAATTTTATTTTATTTGGTGTTTGTTTTTATTTGGTGTTGTTTATTTTATTTATGTGGTGTGTTTTTTTTAGTTCATTTAGTGAGTTGAAATGTAATTTTATTTTATTTGGTGTGTTTATTTTATTTTATGTGGTGTGTTTTTTTAGTTCATTTAGTGAGATGAAATGTAATTTTATTTTATTTGGTGTTTGTTTTTATTTGGTGTGTTTATTTTATTTTATGTGGTGTGTTTTTTTAGTTCATTTAGTGAGTTGAAATGTAATTTTATTTTATTTGGTGTTTGTTTTTATTTGGTGTGTTTATTTGGTGTGTTGATGTTATTTTATTTGGTGTGTTTAAATGTGTTTTGAATAAAGTACTAAGTTCAATAAATTGGAAACAACATAAAGTACTCTATTCAATGAATAAGAAATTACAACCCGAATAAGAAATTACAACCCGAATTGATTGGAAAATTATGGGTTCGTGAATGGATGATAACCATCACCTAACCAATTTGTGGTGCTAGGATGATCTTCTCTTGTCATGCTAGGATAATCTTCTCTTGTGGTGCTAGGACCATCTCCTCTTGCTCTCGCTTCTCTTGCACGCCTCCTTCGCACACACATCCGCTTTCTCTGACTTCCAAAAAATATTTAGAGTCTGGAGACTTCCCTTCTAAAGGCTCCTTCATAATGTCACGATCTCGTTCAGCCATTCTTTCTTCTCTTCTATGTTCCCTTTCTTGCCGAAGTAGTTCTCTTTCTCTCTCATCAGCTTCAAATTTTCTCTCAAAAGCTGCAGCTTTTGCATCCTCTCTAGCCTTATCAGCCTCAAATTTAGCCATTTCCCGGGCCAAATTCAATTCACCTTGGCGGGCAAGATCTTCCATATACTTTGCATAATCATTCTTGGAAGCATTACCTTTTCTCTTTGAAGCCTTCTTACCTTGAGGCCTAACTGGATAACGGGTCGACCCCGACGCTTGTTCAACGGGGGGCGTTTCAGGCACTTCTTCATCATCTTCATCATGATCATGCGAGGCATGCTCAGGTGTAGAGTGTAGAGGGGTGCTGTTCATGAAAACTTCTAGACCGACATGCACAACTCTAAATTTAGGACAATCTTTGACAATATTCCAACATTCAAACCGGGTGAATGTTTTGTTTTTGCTTTTGGTTTTGGCACCATACCAAGCTTGTGCTTGAAGTTCCTACACAAACAAATAATTATAATGAGAATAGGTAACAAATAAAATAATTATAATGAAAGTATGTAACAAATAAATAATACAAACAAAATAATTATAAATGAAAGTAGCTAACAAATAATTATAATGAAAGTAGGTAACAAATAAATAATACAAACAAATAAATATAATGAAAGTAGC